CAATTTTATTTTTAAATAATGCAAAAGTGCATAGCGAAAATATTTTTAACACGCTTATATTAGCTTAACTTGTATGTATGTTTGTTTGTATGTAACTATGTAACTAAAAGAGATAGGCAACTAAACGTACATGCGTGTATTCATTGTTGTTTACCTGAAGTTTTCAAGTAATAGAGACACGTATGTACTAGAATTAAAAAAACACGATTTTAAAGCACATCGAACTAAAAAGTGGAAAATAAATATAGTTTAAAAAAACTAAAACACACCCTTAAATAGTAAAATAAAATAAAAAGTAGAAAATAATTTTCATTATAGAAATCAATTAATAAAAAATAAATAGTGTTATTGTGAAAAAAGCGTGGGGTGCTACATATATCAGTTCTTGAAAAGCGCCCCACACTTATTTTCACAACAACACTATTAATTTTTTATTAATTGATTTCTATATTGAAAATTATTTTCTACTTTTTAGTTTATTTTATTATTTAAGCGTGTGTTTTAGTTTTTTTTTTATAAAAAACAAAGTATGTTACTCTAGTGTTTAAAACAAATTTGTTTTATGTGTGACAACGCAAAATCAAATAAAATTCACCTGATGGTCGACAAGTCCGCAAAACTTTGTTAAGATGAACAACCGTAACATGCCATACAAAGTCGTAGTAAAATACTTCATCGACGCGACAGACATAATCGACATCCCGTTAAAATAATTCTGTAAAATATTAATGAAATATCACCATACTCGTTTAAAGATAATAATTAATAGTAACAATTTAGTAAAGTACTACCGCTAGATAGCCGTATGTAAAACAAATTAGTATGTAAGCAGAAGTCCCAAGCTGACATACTATAATTGGCCGAATAGTATTGAAAAACTCTCTCATAACGCTAAAAATAATATATAGAACGATGTATAATAAATTCAATTTAAAATTAGCGTAGTGCAATATATAATTGTAATATATTATGACGCGGCCCCCTCAAACTATCACACGGGTTCGGCTCGCGCTGTACCTCCCTGTCACCCGTCGACACATTGCCGTCAACGTGTGACTTTTTATAAAAATTGGTTTTTTTTTCTCTTTCGCTCAATTTGTTTTCTCGTTTTCCTTTGAAAAAGGAAGCACGCTGAGGGCTATCGAGCACTCATTCGGTTGTCATTCTATTGTCTTTTTGGCGTTTCACCTAATTAAACGGGCCCGGCCCACTTATTCAACACTGAACACGTCTATTCAATAGTATTACTCATTTATTCGGTGTTTCCTATCACTCTTCTCTTACCGAGACGCCGACCACCCCACGTGTCGCGTCAATTATACTATATGTTATGGAGATGTGGGTGGGAGTGGGGTTGGGACTCGGGGAAATGGTGTTAAATTTCGATTCCATAGGCACTGGAGTGTTGATGGCTATAGTAGTGTGTAATAAATTTAATAATTTAACAGGTCATAATATTTCCTATGAATTGTTTTAGGCCAAATATTATGAAAACACTAAAATATGTGCCAGACACTTGATATGTTTTAATATAGCCACCTTAGATACTAGCTTTACGAGACATGAAAATGCTCAATCGTGGTGGTAGACTCGTTTTAAAAATGTTTTTTGACATTTTTATGTCTTTGCTCACACACACGGAAAATCGACACCAACACCGACACCGGTTATCATAACGAAAAATAACAGCGGATTTATCTGTTTAGATAAGAGAGATAAGAGAGAGGGGTGAGGAATAGGGGTTAAGAGATAGGGGGTGAGAGAAAGGGGTAAAAGATAGGGGGCGAGAGTTAGAGATAAGAGATGGGGTGGAAATGGGGTTGGGGGTTGGAGTGGTTATAAGGATGAGGGTGGAAATGGGGATCTAGGTCTTAAATAGGTCTAGGTCGAGGTTAAGGTCGAGGTTGAAGAATGGGAGGGTATATTACATTTTTTAAATTATATGTTGTTTTCACGACGAAGCTGTTTGGATCAATTTAACCATTCATTCAAGTTTTTTTCTCTAGATCTCTACCGTCATTCCACCTATTTATATATTAAACTACACTACCTACTTTATTTTGCGTTTTTGTGTAATTGAAGCTAAGGCTGGTTTAATTTTGAAGATATAAACTCGTGCCTACCTATCTTGCCTATAATGGTAAATAACCATGTATTAAATTAACTCACGATATGACTTTGGCGTGATCCGAATGAATCGTTTTGAGTTGTTCGATTAACATTGTCGATTTACCTGAAATACAAAAGAACGCTTTCATTGACATTATACATTTAAGAAGTTTAAGAAAACAGTATCTGTGTGTGTGTAGACAGTTAAGTTGTATAATGGGTGCATGTACTTTGGGTTTTGTCGTATCCCAACGAGCTGTACATAGAAGCGATTGTTTTCAGATGTGCTACAATTGACCAGCAGAAAATAATGAGAACCGAATCGAATAGTACATACACAAATGCACATTGCGTCATTATAACGGCTTCGATAATGTAAACGAACAGGTGCAGTTTGTTGTATAGTTTGACTTCTAACGGATATAGCAAATTGTTGAAGACGCTGTTTTTGTAAGTCGCCTTGTTGCCTTCTTGATTTGTCACCGTATAATCAGTGATAAACAGCGGGTTGATCAACCAAATTATAAGTAATGTAAAAGTTACTGTTGCGTATATGTTTGTGATTGTCTCGGTCATTTGTTTGTAATATTTCACCATGTCCGTTCTGTAATGGCGGTAAGACAAGAAATCATTGCGCATTAGATCGAAACATTTCCAAATCACGTGGGCTTTCTGACCGACTCGGATGACGTTCAGAAAAATACTAAAACCGACTACTAATAGCATCGAACCGTTTATCCATTGGTTAAAGTCGTTGGTCCATCCAAAGAGACCGGTCACGCAGAAAATCAAAAATGTACCGTCGAATATTGTGGCTAAAATATAAGCCAACTGATAAATGTTGTACCCGCTCAACGTAATTGAACCATCAGTTTCAGTTGGATTTAGCACTTGATACAGTCCAGTTATCTTTAACAATTTAACGTTGGTGATAAATGATTTGTCTTCGTTTTTGTGATTGGCCATTTTTTGGCGAAATCTAAAAAAAACAAAATATACAATTTTCGTATAGAAGTTATTTAGCAAACCGGTGAAATATAATTCCATTGTATTTTTTAATGGCTTTGATCCTATTGACACAACTAACGTTTATTGTTGTTAAACATTTTATATACTTAATTTAATGTCCGAAATAATACACTGATTAATTTTACAGAAATGTGGTTTTCTTATGATAAGACCATCAAATCGGGTTATGCTACTAATATATTATTATTATTTAACGGATTTAATTTCATGTGTTCTGTACAACGTTTACGGCCATAGTAGGGCATTGATCATTATTTGAATAAAATAAAATTGCATAGAAAAATTAGAATACTTGAATAAATGTTATTTGAAAATTATTCGAATACAATTTTACTATTTTTTGTTTTAATCTTTAGGGCATTAGGTTTAGTTGGGTATTTCATCACATTTTCTACAACTACTTATAGGGAATATAAAAGACAAATGTTTATAGATAAATTTATAAAAAAATTTTTTATAAGTTAAATACTTACTTTGCAAGGTACTTTATAAGAATACTTTACTTTCACGAAAACTGAAGAGATTTCCAAAATTACTTTGAAGTTTAACTTTAAGTATGGACTTGCAATGAGTAACAATGTTATATTGTGGTTAACAATCATAGAATGGAGAAAGATTAAATGATCGTCAAAATCGACAATACGAGTAGGAGCAAGGAAGTGTTCGTGTATGATGAATAATAAATGTGGTAAAAAACGACTTTGAAAAGTTAATAGAAAGGAAATATTAATTTTAAACTAGTAGGCGTGGTGGGAGCATAGTTTAGCATTGCACAAGCGGTACTAACGTTTATGATGATTATAGTTGGAAACCAAAAATAATTACACACCTGGTTATTATAGCTTAGCTAAGGTCGTGACTAACGTTGTATAAAGTTTAGTATATTAAACTGAGGGTCTTGTAACTTTATTATAATATAAACCAGGTTATATTATATTCTTCCTAACACACTAAATTATGCACAAACCAAAATTAGGTGTAATATATTTTATGATTAATTTTAATTTTACCATACAGATACTCACTCTATGTTTGTAAAGGTATTTTTCATGTATTTTCATCGACATTCGAACCACATTTGACTATCGTCTACAGACCTTCATCCCACCCAGGGCACAGGTTAACCATATTCTTTAGGATTCATTTCAACTCCCTCTTAGGTATTCAAAGTTACCTAAGTCCTCACGTTGTTTCTAGAAACTGTATAACAAGATCTAGTACATACATTTTTCGTATTCTGTATACATTTCTTAATGAGATGGCTAGCGGGAAAAAGGTAGTAAGAAGGTAACCCTTATTGTACTTCTCTATAGAAGTCTTCTAGATCATGGAGCTTACAGGGCGATCATTGAGTCTCTATAGGTTTTTTAAAATTGTTTTTTATTAGCTTTCACCAAAAGGTATTACAGCTCGACAATAATTGTTATAATTGTTATAGATATTATTACAATTAATGTTCTTGTTAAAATTAAAAGTACAATAATTTAACCGAATAAAAATGTATAATAGCTATTAATAATAATAAAACTAAAATAATTTTAAACTATATTTCATTATTAATACTCTCAAAACACTAAACTACCGACAAAAGCATTATTAACAATTTTGTTTAAACCACATCACTATAGGACACTCTTTCCTCTGTAATGTCTGAACAGCAGACATTACATTTCGTCTATTACTCTCATTTCACAGTTAATCTGTGAACCCATTGGTTACTACTACATATTATCTGGAATATTATATTAGTAAAATTCGAGTATAGATTTGTGATAAATCTTTTTGATTAATCTACAAAACGGTACAGGGATATCTGTAGAAATATATAAAACTCATATTAATAGCAATATGATATTTCAATAGTTTATTATAAGTATTATGTAAGTTGAACAATTGTGTGGTAATTATATTTCATATATTATTATGATATGTGTATTATTGAAAAAAATCGTGTGTTCTTGATATCCTGTAACAAATAAAATTTACTCTTATAAATATGAACGGGGGGTGGGAACTTAACACTAATTTTTAATTGCAACATTGCCGTTAACTTCTTTGTTGATTATATGAAAATATAGGTTTGACAGATTCTGGATTTATTTATTTTTTCTCAATACAAGTTAAATGATAATAATGAGCAATATTTAGCAATATTTTATTCAAATTTAAAAGAAAAAACAATATTCAATAAAGTATTGTAACATAAAAGCTTACCGGTTACTAAAAACGTCCAAAACTCCCATTGACCCACTTGCCTAAAAAGTATTTTTTTATTTAAAATATCAACATTTTTTTTTTTATACTATTTGTATTAACTTAATTATAATATTTTTTATACAGCTGAAGTATTGATTGCGTTAAAATGTTTTTGTCCAATTTGTGTTAAGTTATATTTAAGAATTCATAAGTGATTTTTTTCGAAATTATTTAAGTTGGTAAGAAAATATGAATTTAAAAAAGAGAAATAAACATCACGTAACTAATTAATTGTTTCATATAAATTAATATACATTATATATATATTATTTAATATGTAATATAATAATACCTAAACCGTTCATGACATTGCCAATAACACTCGTATTTTCGGCTTGCCGGTCTACACAAACAATTAATGTAGTTTTAATAACATTTAACCGTATCCAAAGTATATTTGAAGGATAAATAAAATGTGCATACAGGTATTTTGCAATATTCTCGAAAACAAACAAACATATAATAATTGTATGATACGTTTTAATTTGTTGATATTTTTTAGGAATTCTCGTTTTGACAAGATAATATTAACGAAACAAAATAATAACCACCCAATGCATGTTGTTATAGGGCTAAATGAACAGCTAATGTTTGGGGCATTACTCAATTTTGGAAAATAAAATAAAATCGTGTACTCTAGTACACTTGAGAAGAATAAAAGTACGAAGAAGTAAAATATGTATTTATCAGTACAACTATGTCGATTGTTTATATTTTTATTAGGAAGTTTACATCTATTTCTAGATATCATACATGTGTCGTTTTCGCCAACATCTTCACCACCTTGGCCAAAAAAAAAATATATATATACATTTTTAGTTAAGTTAATATACAATAAGGGACAACATATGCATAAAAAAGTACCTTCTGCTTCTTCTAACGTATCTAAAAAAAAGTCAATAAATTTGTCAGATTTACAATATTTAAATAACAATAATATCCAATAGTCAAGATACTCTTTAGTAAACTTATGTTGTTTGTTTATATTTTTTTAAAAGTATTTTGCATAAATTTGTAGATATCATACTTGTGTTGTTATTGTTATCACCTTCGCCGTCCTGACCTGAAAACAAAACCACTTTTTTGTCAGAGGGTCAACATATGCATTAAAAAGTACCGCCTGCTCCTATTAACGTATCTAAAAAAAGTCTATCAATTATGTTATATTTACAATATTTAAATAACAAGTTAGTGTGAAATTACAAAATAGTTGGGGCGTGAAGTTAGTTCCATAGGCATTAGTTTTTTTCAACATTTAAAGACATATCATTTTACCAAGTTCTAAATTTTAAGAGGTAATAGCTAAAAAATTTTAAATTATTTTTATTTACTAAATTTATAAGAAATTATTTTGGATCCCTGGTAATAGAACCATTCAAATGTTTTTACTGTTTACAGTACTCATGAAAACCGTTAGATACTTAGATAAAGTTAATGAGTACTGTAAAAAGGCAAATTTGTATTAAAGCGATTTTTAATTTCATGAAATTTTCTATTTATAAACATTTTTATACATAACATTTGTGTAATTATTAATATGCAGTGTTGTTTTTTACTAAATACAAGATACAAATTAGGCCTTTCCAGCTTTTGTTCGGTATTCGTATTTTTCCCTTTAAATTCATCTTCATAAAAACTCTAACTGCCTCTGCCACATCTCACCTCATTACATGATCGAACCATCTCAATCTATTCTCTATATTTTTCCCACAATAGATGCATCTCCTAGACTCTTCCTTATGTACTCATTTCGTATTCTACCCTCCCTAGTCCTTAGTACAAAAAACAAATAAAATGTCTCCTATTTTAAAGCATTGTTGAGTTCTTTTATATTGTTTTAACTGTTTAAGATACAAGAGTTTTATCTTTTTATAAGACGTATTTATATTGACATAGGATACATTATATTTTGAATGTATGACTTACTCGGTGTAGGCAGGCCACGAGTGACTAAATATAAATAAAAACTATCAATATAATTTTCACAAGGTAGTTGTTAGAAAAACTTACTTGGTTTACGGTTACACATATATTTACAAATTTACTTTGTCAACGCTTCGCAAACCGTTTATTTTAAAGGTGGTTTGTTGCACCTGTGGCGTGTGCTTCATCAGAGTAATACTGTGTAGTACAGGGTATCTAAGATAGCGGCACGGAACCAAGTCCTCGGGTCTGCTATTTTAGCGGTAAACATGTCGGGGTTGCTCGTTGTAGCAGCATGGTCTCCAGCTGCAATTTGTATGGTGTTATGGGGGGGGGGGGGAGTAAGGGATGTCCTGTTGGACGTAGCCCATTCGGCTCCCGTTTTACAAAAAGGTAAATTCCCAAACGGCTCCGGTTTTTTACAACACAAATTCCTCCTCGTCAGCGAGTTTTTTATGGACTAAAAACGAAAAATTTTCTATCATTTTTTCGAAAATTTTAATAGATTTAATAGGGGTTGCTACCACTATTACCAAATTCGTAATTCGTATTGATAACTGATAAGGACGGCAGGTCTCCGGGTGTTTTGGCACTCGCACGCTACGCTCGCTCGGCGCCGTCGCTTTGCTCCGCTAACTAAAAATATCCTAGGTTTGTAGGCTACAGTCTAGGAGGAGGTTACAGGTTTAAATTTAAGTTAAAGTTTTTTTGAAAAGTTAAAGAGACCTGATAGTTTACGCGTAGTACCGAATACCGGAGCCGTTTGGGAATTTACCTACTCGTGAAACCTTTTTCAACGGGAGCCGTTTGGGAAAAAACAAACAATGGATGGGAGCCGTTTGGGTTGCACCGGTTTTCGCACTTTTGAAGTTTCATGCAATCCTCGAGCTACTTTTTGTTGCAAACACTAAGAGTCCAATATCGAAGTTCCGAGTTCCGTTTCATGAAATTGATACAAAAAATAGCTGCCTGAACAGCGTTTCGTATAATATTGAGTTCAGTGGTTCTCTCTTTTTCAAATATCCGACGTTATGTCTACTAGTCTGGTTGTTTGTACTGTTATTGAACTCTGGGTACAGTTTTTGTTTTCTAGGCCCCCGATTGTTTTAGGTCGTTTGAGACTAAGCCGGTATGCCAGGTCGATTTGGCTGGGAATGGATGGATATTATGGCGTTGGCCGACGACCAATATGTTTGCGTCTCCGTAAGGCAGGAAAATTGTTTTGGTTAAAATTAATTGAAATAATAATTAATCATTTTCGGACCGATTCGTGTAAATATTTTCCGCGTTACAACGATCGCAATATCGCGGCAATGTTTGTTTGTTTGTCTTATCGGTAGGCGACGGTTATTGTGCAGCAGATGTGGTATTTGTGAATATCTAGGTCAACAGTGTTTCTTTAATCCTGGCTGCGACAATAGACCGGCACGTGGTGTTCCGGCGCGTGCCATTGCGAGGACTTTGTGGGGGGTTGCCAAGGGGAGGTGTACCGGATGCTATTCAGTGCGGTTCCCCACAAAAGAAAAGCTTCCAAAACGCTGACAAAGTCCTTTTGTAAATATAAATGTAACAGTAAACCATCTAAATATTTCTAACTTAACGGTTATTATATTAAACGTAACAATATTATATGTTATTATTGTTCGTTACTCTAGACTTAATATTTTTGTTTAAAATAAAATGTAAGAAAAAACATAGTAATGAAAAATTATATTATACATAATGTACAGGGTGATACACTTATCGTGAACCACTCAATATCTAATAGAGTTCAATAGGAAATAACAATATATTTTTTCATATTTTTTTTATACTATGTGATCTCAATTTTTCACATATTTTTGTTTTTACCCCCTCCCAACTTAGTTTTTTTGATAGCAACTTTTGAAACTTAAACGTTAACGTATATATTTTATAAACTTTTTAAATTGAGAATAATTTATTAAAAATGTTGTCTAGTCGATAACCAGAAGTTATTGAAGTTTCAAGTTTAGGGCAGGAGGAAAGGTGGAGTGAAGTATTATTTTTATCTGCGCCCATTACCCAAACGCACTTATCCTCTCATCCTAACTTTAAAACTTTTATAACTTTAAAAATAGTAATCCGAAACTGGTTACCGACCATTTAAAGTTGTTAGTACATTATTCTCATTTTAAAAAGTTAATAAAATATTTACGTTACCATTTAAGTTCCAAAAGCTGCTATCAAAAAAATCAAGTTGGAAGAGGGTAAAAACAAAAAAAAATTATGGAAAATTGAGATCACATTGCATAAAAAAAATATGAAAACAAAATTTGTAATTTCTTATTAACCTGTATGAGATATTAAATGGATTACGATAAGTGGATCACCTTGTATATTTAATAAAATTACTTTTAAAAATTTAATAATTGTTTGCTACTAAAAATTTAATATTAAAAAAAAATAATACATCATTTAAACATATAGTTAAATACATTATAAGGGCGACTAGTAATAATATAAAACACATTACCCAATAAAGAATTCAATAAGATGAGAACAATGAAAAAAAATTTGATTTTCTGCATATTGACCGATATAAGAATCTTGCAACTCAAAGTAACTCTGTTTAATTGTTGGACGAAGTGCTTTGTAACAACGTATAAAACAAAAATATGTAATGTCCTAGTTTTTGAAAATATTACATGTTAGATTAGTATTTAGTTAGGTGTATAAGTATATAGATATTATTTGATTAAGTTTGTTAACAGATTGTAGAAAAATGTTTTTCTAGCATAGAATTGTACACAGGTGTATATTTTCAACTAAAAATGATGTTGTCGATCATATAAATTATTGTTTAGGCGATAAACATAGGAATCAAAAAAATATGCAAAAAACCACTTATGGGACTGAACAATCAATAAAGTATAGACTACTGTATAGTCATTCTTCATCTTTAAAAATACATAGCTACGCAGAAAAAACGACGAGATATTCATATATATTCGAGAAAAGTATTTAAAAGTCTTAAAAAAATTATTGATGGGTTTTTTTTAAAGTCATGTGTTAGGCAATCTGAAGTAATTGTGTTAACATAGTCATACCTTGGTTACGACTTACTTTTTAGTGTTGAATGTTTATTAAGGAACCATTTTAATTAAGTCATAAACAATAAACCATTATCATACGTTTAGTGGATACTTATGGTATTTGAATGTCTATATATAGTGCCATAGTTATATTTTTAAGCTTTTCCAATTTTTTATGTGTAATTTATTAATAACTGGCTAAGAAAACACTCATGGCTTCGCTCGGGATAAATCGTAAGACCTAAAGATAAATCCTAAATTGAATTAAATAAAACAATTTTCAAATTTTTTGGTTTTCCTGGGGGAGCTTCTTTTATTCTTCAAGTAGTTTAAGTTTTTTGTATAACTTACATACATGTAGTTATGGTTAAAAAAATCGAAAACAAACCTGTTTTTTAAATCAAATCAAATTTAAAAATTAAATCATTTGAAAACATTTTTAAGCTATTTTATTATTTCTTTAGAATAAATATTATGTGACATATTCGCATTGCACTCGAACTTCATACCATTAATTTAAAAGATTATTATTGTTATTTCTATGTTTTAAACACGTGTTGGTTTAATTTTTCCACCCGCACTATTAATGCGGACAATTAAACGTTTTGACTTTTGATTCATTATAAATGTACAAGTATTTAACTTGATGAAAAAAAAATCATTTGTATATCGTGCGTGTTAGCTCTGTTGTGTAATATGTTTATCGTGCCTTAAATATTTAACGGATAAAGTATTTTTTATTATTATTATTATTATTATTTCATTTGTGTCCTACATTATTGTTCTAAAAAGCTACAGCATTTGGCGTTT